TGAATGTTACTGTTGAGATTCGTGAAGAGGCTGTAATACCTGAAGTATGACTCCTGCTAGGAGCCATCAAGGAATCGGATGGGGAATATAAACATAGCACATCAGTAACAAGATCAGTTCTTTTGCTTTTCTATATATATACATTTCTTGCTCTGCGAGGAACATATCTGGCTTTGACTGGAATATGCCTTTTAGGGCAGTAGGGAGATGTGGTGTGTGGGTTTTGTAGAGTGGTTGGGTTTTTTTCTTCCAAGGTTGAATGCGAATGTGTCATCTTTTAGCATGCCTTTTGCAAGGTCCTGGCAGATCATTCCACCTCTTTGCCTCGCAATAGAGAGATTTGGGTTTTTTCCTATTATGCAGTGATTTGGAAGGTGCTTGAACACTTCATAGCAATCCTGAAAATAAGTGTGAAACTGAAAGCAAACCAGTTCCCTAAACTTACTTGTTCTTGCAGGATGTTTTGGGTGGTGTCCTTGAAGCGGCTTAAAAAATTCTCCAAAGCTTTCTGAAATTTGCATCTCTGACAGTTCATACTCCAAGAGGAATGCTTCCAACAAATGACATTTTCCCCCCAGTCTCATTTGTTATACAACTGATGATGTCCCTATGTCTGCAGGATTGTTTCCTGTGATAATCTATAGGCTTCCGCCTCTTTCATTCTTGGGACATAGGTGAGATGAAAGATAACAGACGACAATGTACGGAAGAGTATCTAGGAAGAGGTGTAAGGAACAACTGGGGTCATGAAGGAAAAAGTATCTTTGCTGCCAGGGGTGATGCTAGGTGTCTAAATCAAAACTAAGACAACTTTTTCCTCTGTTATAGTCAAAGCTGGAATTTCTGTTTGTCCTCTAAGCTGACCAAGTTAAAAAGTACATTTGAATCCAGCCTAATAAAAGGCTGTGCCATATACTTTGAAGGTAGTAGTGAAACCACGTACTTAGTTTTGTGTGCTTCATATTGCAGTGACCCCAAAGCATTAGGAGGCCCAATGTGTAAGCTGCTAAGTGGTGCAGGACCATATTGCAGACAGAGCGTATTGGGCCCGTACGTCCCTGGACAAGCTGCAGCAGCATGAAGTTCCGTGCAGGCCCGTTTACTTCTCTTCACAGGCAGGCTTTGCTGAGCTCCTTCCTTAGTCAGCCTGATCATGGAAACCCTGAGGTAGCCAAGGTAAAGCTCTGTGCTGCAGTCAGACAGACAGGGCTTCGTTCGACTTGCTTGGTGCTGTAACGCTGAGATGCTGAATTCTTTGAAATTGGGGCCATAGTGGAAACACCGTATGTGTGAGCACGTAAGTGCCTGCTTCTGAGCTCTTTGCAGTGAAGTGAACTGCAGCTTTTACTTTCTAGTCATATTTTTAGCCTTCCCTAGCAGTATCTTGCTAAACTTCCTAAGTCTTCTTGAGAAACCAGAAACTTAATATTAAGAAGCCAATCATAAGAATATTTTTGCTCTTATTTTTTCTTTTGTAGATGAGCAATAGACTCATATGAGGATATATTTTAAAATCCTCAGAAGAACAGCTGTTTTACAATGCTTACATTGCTGAAATATGGACAGGTTTGTGTTGACTTGTGCTGATGCATCTAATCTAGTTTACAGTGCTATTGTGTCCTGGGGTTAATATATAAATCATATGCAGTGTTTATTTTCTTCAAAAGAAAATCAATAAGCAAAAAGGCAGCGCTGCTTTTTCCCCCCATCCCACCTCCCAAACAAGAAACCACGTTTTAGAAAAGTTTAAAGTGAAAATGGTATTAATTTAGCGGAATTTTCAGTCTGGAGATATAATTATTATAGTATAATTATAAGATATAATAATTCAGTCTGGAGAAGAGGAGGCTGAGGGGAGACCTTACCGCTCTCTACAACTACCTGACAGGGTGTTGTGTCGAGGTGGGTGTTGGTCTCTTCTCCCAAGTAACCAGTGATAGGACAAGAGGAAATGGCCTCAAGTTGCGCCAGGGGAGGTTTAGATTGGATCTTAGGAAAAATTTCTTCACTGAGAGGGTGGTCAGGCATTGGAACAGGCTGCCCAGGGAGGTGGTGGAGTCGCCATCTCTGGAAGTGTTCAAAAAATGTGTGGATGTGGTGCTTCAGGACATGGTTTAGGGAATATGGTGGCATTGGGTTAATGGTTGGACTTGATGATCTTGAAGGTCCTTTCCAACCTTAGTGATTCTGTGATTCTGTGGAAGCTGATGGCAGGATCTAAGTAGTTAGAAGCCATAGAGTCAAAAAGCAATAGAGAGCTAAGCTTGTAACTTAAACTGCAGGCCAGGATTCTGGGCCACAATGGTAATGTCTTGTTGTGTCATTGGGGTTTTTTTTCCTAAACCGGAGTCAAAAGCTAGAATTGATTTCTTGATGGTATAAAGCTGCTTGTCACATTGCCAGCCTAGCAAATACTTAAAGGTCTGTTTTATGTAAAGATTAAAGATTAACTTATTTAAAGGAAGGCTTTGCATGGTAGTATAAAGATCCTGTAAAACTGTTGATTTGTGAATCTGGACAACTAGTAGCATTGCTGTTCATTTCATCTGTCTGGCAATGGGAATAACAACAGTGAAAGGGATAGAAACAGAAACACTTAACTTGCATGAACTTCTGAGGCAGAAGAGAACTGGCCATCTTTTATTTCATTCGAGGATGATAAGACCAGGTGAAAATCACAGGTGTTTCAGTGTTGGCTTTTACCTCAAACTGCAGGAGCTTGCCAAACTAAAATTGTTCTGCACAGGCTAATAACTGCATTCTGACCTAAAGGACCAAGATACAAAAGAAAAAATTATCTTCCTGGTGCTGCGAAGCTTTAATTAATTTTTATGAAGTTTATTTAGGGATCTTTTTGATGAAGTCTCACAGGTGATATAATCTTAAGCTTTTTTTTCCTGTGTGTGAAGACTGTTCATTATTTTGAGTCATCAAACATCAAATTTGGCTCACAGTTTTGTTTTGTGCTGAGAGCAGAAATGAGGCTACAGATTATGGAGTGCTTTAACCAGAATTACTTACAAAGATTTCCTGTAGTTTTATAGATAACTATGTTCTCCCATCCCATTAGAGGATAATTAAGAACTTCCTTATATTTCTCGTT